GTGCCCCGGATGGCCCCGGATGGCCCCGGGATTTGCGATGTTGCACTATGTTGCACTGAGGTTGCCAAAATACAATCCCATGGAATGAACCCACGAGTCGTAGTTTTCCATACCCCTAGGTTGCAATGATGTTCCACTCGTGTTGAGATTGATTGTAGCGTCAAAATGAGGTCTTCTTGGCGAGAAAGCTATGACAGCATGGTTCTGTCTGAGACCGAGAAGGAGCCAGAAAGCTGCCACAAAACTGCCACACAGCTTGCACACCTCCAGCATGATGCATGATACAGCAAATGTTTTTTGGGTGGCAGTACATAAGCTTGTGTGTAGCGAGTGTATGCGAGTGTAATGATTTCACGTCATCATACCAACTCCAGCACTACTTGTACCAACAGATTTCAAAAGCGGTCAGAAGGACTGTCAGAGGGATCTAAAAGGTTGTACGGGAAAGACTGCTGTAAGAAGGAATGTTTCAGAAAGGAAAGACTGACAATATGTTTCGTCAGAGAACGGTCTCCTCCTAGAGAGGTCCAGGGAGGTGCAGTGGAATGCAGTGGAATTCAGTGGAGTGAGATTGATTGAGCATATTTGAGCATTGTTTTGGGCCAGGAAGACTGGCAGATGTTTGCTGAAAAACAGTTGGAATCAGCGCAAGAGGTGATCAAGGCGCTTTCTGACACCTATGATTCCCATATATTCCCATGATCAGCATGGAAGATTGTTTGAATATGTTTGAATTCACTAATGGCTATTGTAAGGCACAATGCTTTCAAGTGATGAATGGCTAGTTCAACGGTGTTGGTGGTTGAAGGGTGGCTGTGTTTCTTGGCAATGTTCCGAGTTCAAATAGTTTGCGTTCTCTCGAGGAGCAACATGGACAGATCCAACCAATCTGGTCAAGTTTTATCAGGCTTTATCCATGCTGTTTGATCATGTTTGATGGACGTCCGAGGACCAACGAGACTTGCTCCAACTTGAACAGCTGCAGAAAGAAGAAATGCAGAAGAAGATACAAGATCTGGAGGCCATGGCAGCAAAATGTATGTTAAAAATGTGAAAATGCAACGCTTTGATACGCTGTGTTGTCATATTGTATCAATTTGTATCATGCGCCCACCTTTAGAAGTTTGTCAACTGAAAACGAGACTGCCTGTAGATTTTGCAGGATGCTTTACAAGAGCAGCTGAATGACCAGGCAATCGGGCAAAGCAGTGTGTGTTCCACTGCACACTGCCTGGATATGCCTGGATTATGACATCATCCTCATTGTATCGCATTGCTCTTTGTTTGCTGATGGCTAAAAAAAGGTCACAAAAGGCAGTCGAATGGTGGTAGAACTAAATTACGTATGCTATATATGGTTTCAACGCTGAAGAGTTGAATTGCATAGTTTTGACATCAAGACAATACATTTGTAGCAATTCAGAGATCAGAGTCAGATTGAACACAAAGTGGAATCGCATATTTGTGGTGACAAATCTGCCCAAGTTTGTGACAGGAACAGCGGGACATGAAGTCCAGAACGCTGCAATTTGAGCTGGAAAAACAATTGAAGCAGACACAGGCATCAAAAGCATCAAACCTTGTCGACAGGGTGGGATCCCAGGTGACGGTGACAACGATGGTGTTTTTTTTTGCGGTCAGATTGACATGCCGCACATGCCTATTTGATCCTGTTTGGACAGCGACATGCACGGCTTGTTTGTGCCATGTTTGTACCATAGAGTGGCAGGAACAGCGGGACGCACTGCAGCTAGAAAAGGTGCAATGGCAAGAGCTGGCAGAAAAGCTCAAGCTGGCTGAGGCAAGGCAGGCTGTTGAATCGTTTCGAGTACAGTTGGGAGATTAGTTTCAATGTTCAGCAAGCCAGCAGCATCGTAGCAGCGGTGGGAATCACTTGAAATCCATTGAAATCCCTTTCTGTCTCAATGCGGATCAAGTTGTGGACTCTTGCAGATTCACCCTCTTCTGTTGCTTCGCAGGAGCATATGGACATGCTGCAGCTGGAGAAGTTGCAATGGGAGGAGCTGGAGAAAAAAATGAAGAAGACACAGGCCCCGAATCTCACCAACAAACATGAAAAGGATGACAAAATGTTTACTTGGCACATCTCTGCACCCGCATGTGCATCCAATATGAACATGATAATATAATATAATATAGTCATATGACATATATATATATATGTTACTGTACATATACTGTATATATATATATACATGATGCGTAGATAATATTGTGTGAGTGCATTTCAATGGGCGAAATGCTGAATATCCAATCTGCCCTGCAGCAGCATGCAAAATATGATTTTGAAAAATGCAAAATTAAACATGTTTTTGTTTGTGTGTTCAGAAGTCTTTGATGTTCTTTGATTGCACTCCAGAGGAAAGGTACGAGATGCTGCAAGCGGAGCTGGAAAAGAACCTGCAGGAGATGAAAAGAGACTTTCCTTGTGCCAAGTCGAATTGAATGATAGTATGCTGCCATGTTTGTTTCCAGAAAATAATTATGGACAATTGCAGCAAGTAAGAGCAAGAGCACATCTGTCAGCACATCTATCTAAAATCGTCAAAATGTGCTATGATTGTCGAGTGAGAAGGCAAACTCACTGAAGACCACGTCTGAATGCCAGATTCTGTGCTTCGACAGGAACAACGCGACCTGCTACAATTGGAAAAGTTGCAATGTGAGGAGCTGCAAAAAAAGTTGAAGAAGACGCAGGCCCCGTTGCAAGACAAGAGATGTCACATGCAGCGTGTGCAGAGCATGTGTGGAGCATGTGTGGAGCATGTGTGGAGCATGTGTGGAGCATGTAGAGAATATGTAGAGAATATGTAGAGCATCTAGTTTTGAAGAAGTTTCCTTGAAAAGACGCGTTTCTTTCTCGGCACCCGCCCCAGGAGGTTGGTCACAAAGAGCACAACAAAGTGGAAGTGCTCGAAGTGCAGGTGACCTTTCGCTTGATCGCCGGAGCCAACAAGTCAAACCTCCAAATGTTTGGATATAATATGTGTATAGAGATTATAGGGATTATTATGGATACATATATGTCATATTGTATCATATATATATATGTGATTATGCAACATGTTTCAAGAAGTCATAGATGTTTTTGCCCAACAGGGTAAGCTTGGGTTTTCAGCCATAATAAAGGTCTCGGAGCAGGTCGGAGCAGCCAAATCCACACTGCGCAAGGTTCCCAACCAAGGTTCCCAGGAAGAGGTTCCCAAGCAAGGGTTTCCAGGAAGAGGTTCCCAAGCAAGGTTCCCAAGCAAGCTCCCAAAGGTTCCCAACAACAGGTTCCTAAGAGCAGGTTTCCAAGTAAGGGTGCTAAGCCAGTTCCCAAGCAAGGTTTCCAAGCAAGGTTCCCAAAGGTTTCCCTAGCAAGGTTACCAAGCAAGGGTTCCCAAGCAAGGTTCCCAAGAAAAGGTTTCCAAGCAAGGGTTCCAAGACCAGGTTGTCAAGCAAGGGTTCCAAGAACAGGTTTCCAAGCAAGGTTGCCAAGAACAGGTTCGCAAGCAAGGTCCCCAAGCAAGGTTTTCAAGAACAGGTTCCCAAGACAGGTTTCCAAGCAAGGTTCGCCGGAATAGGTTTCCAAGAACAGGTTCCCAAGCGAGGTTACCAAGCAAGGGTTCCCAAGCAAGCTCCCAGGAACAGATTTGCAAGCAAGGTGTCCAGGCACACGTGTCCAAGCAAAGTTTTTGTTGTTCCCGACAACGGGTCAATCAAAGGTTCATCTCGGTTTTTCTCAAACAGCTCTCAAAAATCATTCCGACAAACATTTGTTGACTTTTTCATGTATTTGTTGCTGTTGGGGATATTTTTTGGGATTATGTTGATTTATTTTGTGTTTTTAACATGTTTTCAACAAACCATGTCAACATGTTTAACTGTCCCGCCAGGTGGATCTTTTGTCCAAGGCTAGGCCTGGAGTACTGTGCCCGGTTTGCATCTAGCCTTAAACAGAACCACAAGGGCGTGCCTTCGCAGAGTGCTGATTGAATCTGATTGAATCTGATTGACTATAGTTTAAGAATGTTTAAGAATGTTTAAGATATTGCTGCAGTAAATATCATCAAATATAAGCAGCCAAAAGGGTTTGGTCCTTGTGGAATCTTGCGGGTTAGACATTGTTAGACACACCAAGTGTAGGCTTCAAAACCGTGCGGCCATCACTTTGACCTATTGAAGCTCAATTAGCAGTGTTGAGTTGCACATTGCATCACGTTGCATCACGTTGCGTCCCGGAGGAAAACGCAGAGCTTCACAGCTGCAGGGATCAGCTGAGCGAAGTTCTTTGTGAGAAGAAGGTCTTGCACCTTGGCAGAGCCATTGGCAGACACAGATTACAAGTGCATGTATGCATGTATGATTGTATGTATGCGTGTATTATCATGACGCAAAATGCTTCATTTTACTGGAAACCAGCAAATAATTAAAACAAAAAAACAAAACAATAACAATAAAAAACAAAACAATAACAATAGAAAAACAATAAACAAAACAATAAACAGCGCACGGTTTGAAACTCAAAGAGACTTTGTGCTTCTCTCTAATCGCCGCAGCTTGTTGATACCACTTGCTCTCAAAGTCCACAGTCTGCTGCGTTGCCTGCTGCCAAGCTGCGACCAAAACTCCCAAAATCCAACAAGGGCTGCCTAGTCAAAGCTTCAAACAGTGCGCCTATTACCTTTGATGGGGGAAAGCAATCAGTCTAGGGGGTGCCCCACGGCTCGTGGTACCCCTTTTTTTTGTTCTTTTCCTAGGGAAAAAACAAAAAAAAAAACAAAAACAATCCAAGAGGAGGTCTGGACTAGCTGGATTTGTCTGCCATTGTAACGTGTACAGGATTGGCAGAGACACGCACCCTATGGATCGTAAAAAAAGGACAGGTGCATTTATGGAAGCTATCTGATTTCTTGCTCCATGTTGTTCCCGTATCTCCTTATTTGCTCCTATATCCTGCCATATTCCCCCATGTTTTTTTTGGGGGGGGAGGGGGTATTTTTTTGTTGTTTTTCTGTTTTTCTGTTTTTTTGTTTGTTTGTTTTCATTCTCGACGTCATAAATGTATGTATAATATAATATTATATAATATTATATTATTATATTATATTATTATATGATATTATATTTTATTATACTATATTGTATTATATTATATTATATTATAATATATTGTATTGTACTCTATTATACTATATTGTATTGTACTATATTATATTTGTTTTTACTATACTATATTATATTGTATTTGTTTTTACTTTACTATATTGTAATATATTATATTATATTTTATTATATTATAATGTATTGTATTGTATCATACTATGTTATATTATATTTTACTATGTTTTATTGTTTTACATTATACTATATATTACATAATATAAAAATATTTTTTTTGTACTTTATTATATTATTTTATATTATGCTATATTATGTTTTATTGTGTTATATGTCATTATCTGTCATAATATACTTCATTTCTATATGTTATTGTATTATATTAAATTAAATTATATTATATTTTATTATATTATATTATATTTTATTGTTTTATATTATATTTTATTATATTATATTATGTTTTATTTTGTTATATTATATTTTATTTTATGTTATTTTATTATTTTATATTTTATTTTCAATTATATATTAATTATATATTTTGTCATAATATAAAATATCATCATTTATTATAATAGATTATATTTTAGATATATGGTTTGTGGATATTTGTGGTGTTAAGCAAGTAATCATGTGATATCATGTGTGTATGCAAAAGTAGTACATGGAGCTGAGCGTATGATTGCTCAGGACTCTCGGAATAAATCTTGAAGATGCTGCATCCCCTTGAAATCAATTAGTATGCAGAAATACTCACTTCTGAGAAAGTACAGGGTTTCTTCCAACAAGAGTTTCTTATGGAAAATGAAACGGTTTTCTTCACCCCTTTGAAATATGTAACAACTCAGCAATTACATGTATGCTAACATTTTTCTTGGTGAGGCATGCATACAATCAGAGAAAAATGGTATCTTTGGGGAGTGGGCTAGCATAATATATATATATACACGCATATGATTTTACATATGTATAAAATTATGTATATATACACATACATACATACATACATACACATACGTACACATACGTACACATACACATACATACACATACATACATGCATACACATACACATACACATACACATACACATACACATACACATACACATACACACACAGACATACAGACATACAGACATACATACATACATACACAGACAGACAGACATACAGACATACAGACATACAGACATACACAGACAGACAGACATACACAGACAGGCAGACATACACAGACAGACAGACAGACAGACATACACAGACAGACAGACATACACAGACAGACAGACATACACAGACAGACAGACATACACAGACAGACAGACAGACAGACAGACAGACACAGACAGACAGACAGACAGACAGACATACACAGACAGACAGACATACAGACAGACAGACAGACATACAGACATACAGACAGACACATACAGACATACAGACAGACAGACAGACATACACAGACAGACAGACATACATACAGACAGACATACATACAGACAGACATACATACAGACATACACAGACATACACAGACATACACAGACATACACAGACATACACAGACATACACAGACATACACAGACATACACAGACATAGACAGACAGACAGACAGACATACAGACAGACATAGAGACAGACATAGACAGACAGACATACACAGACAGACAGACATACACAGACAGACATACAGACAGACAGACAGAAAGACATACATACAGACATACAGACAGACAGACATACAGACAGATAGACATACACAGACATAAACAGACAGACAGACATACAGACAGACAGACAGACATACAGACAGACAGACATACAGACAGACATACATACACAGACAGACAGACATACATACAGACAGACAGACACATACAGACATACAGACAGACATACAGACAGATAGACATACAGACAGACATACATACACAGACAGACATACAGACAGACATACATACAGACATACAGACAGACAGACAGACATACAGACAGACAGACATACAGACAGACATACAGACAGACAGACAGACATACAGACAGACATACAGACAGACATACAGACAGACATACAGACAGACAGACATACACAGACAGACAGACATACACAGACAGACAGACATACACAGACAGACAGACATACACAGACAGAAAGACATACACAGAAAGACAGACATACACAGACAGACAGACATACACAGACAGACAGACAGACATACATACAGACATACAGAAAGACAGACATACAGACAGACAGACATACAGACAGACAGACATACAGACAGACATACATACACAGACAGACAAACATACATACAGACAGACAGACTTACATCCAGACATACAGACAGACAGACATACAGACAGACAGACATACAGACAGACAGACACATACAGACATACAGACAGACATACAGACAGACAGACATACAAACAGACAGACATACACAGACAGACATACATACAGACATACAGACAGACATACATACAGACATACAGACAGACAGACATACACAGACAGACATACATACACAAACAGACGGACAAAGACGGACAGACAGACATACATACAGACAGACAGACATACAGACAGACAGACATACACAGACAGACAGACAGACATACAGACAGACACAGACAGACATACATACAGACATACAGACAGACAGACATACGGACAGACAGACGTACAGACAGACAGACATACAGACAGACATACATACACAGACAGACAGACAGACATACACAGACAGACAGACAGACATACAGACAGACAAACAGACAGACATAAAGACAGACAGACATACAGACAGACAGACATAAAGACAGACAGACATACAGACAGACAGACATACAGACAGACATACAGACAGACATACAGACAGACAGACAGACAGACATACAGATAGACAGACATACAGAAAGACAGACATACAGACAGACATACAGACTGGCAGACAGACATAGACAGGCAGACATACAGACAGACAGACAGATATACAGACAGACAGGCAGATATACAGACAGACAGACAGGCAGGCAGGCAGACAGACATACATACATACACAGACACACAGACACACAGACACACAGACACACAGACACACACACACAGAGACAGACAGACAGACAGACAGACAGACAGATACACAGACAGACATAGACATACACAGACAGACATAGACATACACAGACAGACAGACAGACATACACAGACAGACAGACAGACAGACAGACATACACAGACAGACAGACAGACATACACAGACAGACAGACAGACAGACAGACACACAGACACACAGACACACAGACACACAGACACACAGACACACAGACACACAGACACACAGACACACAGACACACAGACACACAGACACACAGACCCACAGACCCACAGACCCACAGACCCACAGACCCACAGACCCACAGACCCACAGACCCACAGACCCACAGACCCACAGACCCACAGACCCACAGACCCACAGACCCACAAGGACACACAAACACACCCAGACAGACAGACAGACAGACAGACAGACAGACATACAGACATACAGACATACAGACATACAGACATACAGACATACACAGACATACAGACATACAGACATACACAGACATACAGACATACAGACATACACAGACAGACATACATACAGACATACACAGACAGACATACAGACAGACATACAGACAGACATACAGACAGACATACAGACAGACATACATACAGACATACACACAGACATACACAGACAGACATACACAGACAGACAGACAGACAGACATACATACACAAACAGACAGACAAAGACGGACAGACAGACAGACAGACTGACATACAGACAGACAGACAGACATACAGACAGACACACATACATACACAGACAGACATACATACAGACAGAAATACAGACAGACATACATACAGACATACAGACAGACAGACATACAGACAGACAGACATACAGACAGACAGACATACATACACAAACAGACAGACAAAGACGGACAGACAGACAGACAGACTGACATACAGACAGACAGACAGACATACAGACAGACACACATACATACACAGACAGACATACATACAGACAGAAATACAGACAGACATACATACAGACATACAGACAGACAGACATACAGACAGACAGACATACAGACAGACAGACATACACAGACAGACAGACATACAGACAGACAGACATACATACACAGACAGACAGACATGCAGACAGATAGACAGACAGACATACACAGACATACACAGACATACACAGACATACACAGACATACAGACAGACAGACAGACATACAGACAGACCGGCAGATATACAGACACACAGACACACAGACAGACACACAGACAGACAGACAGACAGATAGACAGACAGACATAGACATACACAGACAGACAGACATACACAGACAGACAGACATACACAGACAGACAGACATACACAGACAGATAGACAGACAGACAGACATACATACACAGACAGACAGACAGGCAGACAGACAGACAGACATACATATATACAGACATACAGACAGACATACACAGACAGACAGACAGACAGACACACAGACAGACAGACAGACAGACAGACAGACAGACAGACAGACAGACAGACAGACAGACACACAGACACACAGACACACAGACACACAGACACACAGACACACAGACACACAGACACAGACAGACAGACAGACTGACATACAGACAGACAGACATACAGACAGACACACATACATACACAGACAGACATACATACAGACAGAAATACAGACAGACATACATACAGACATACAGACAGACAGACATACAGACAGACAGACATACAGACAGACAGACATACACAGACAGACATACAGACAGACAGACATGCAGACAGATAGACAGACAGACATGCAGACAGATAGACAGACAGACATGCACAGACATACACAGACATACACAGACATACACAGACATACACAGACAGACAGACAGACAGACACAGACAGACAGACAGACATACATACACAGACAGACAGACATACAGACAGACATACATACACAGACATACATACACAGACATACATACAGACATAGAGACATACATACACAGACAGACAGACATACATACAGACATACAGACAGACATACAGACAGACAGACAACATGACTCCGAGATGGCATGAGCTGTGATGGATTGATGTGCTGCGAGAACGCACTCAGGTTGCTTGGGATATCTGGACATATCTGGACAAAAGTGGAATTGGACAGCGTTGGACATATGGCTCAGATGGCAGTCTGTACTGCTCGGATCTGCTCGGTATTTAATCAGTTTGTTCGAGTTTGCGCAGTTTGTTTTGGTGTTTCATGATGTTTGACAAATTTTGAGCAATCCAATGTGGCAGACAGCGCAACTCCCAGTGGCGCCGCAGCGCTTCGGAGTGCTGCGGCAGTGTTGACGGAGCTGCGAGTGCGCTTGGCCAAAAGCGAAGCGAAGCGACAGCAGCTGGAGGAGCAGTGCCCAAGCTAAGTCCAGCGTCTGTCGCAGCGCGTCTTGTTGGAGTGTCGAGATTGTCGAGTCGGTATCGGATGGTATCGGATGGTATCGGGTCAGTTTCTTCAGTTGTATTTTTTGTCACATTCTCTCTACAGGGTAGCAACCATTCTTCGAAATGCCTTGGTTCGTGAGGTGTGAAAAGCTAGAAGAGCGCAATGGGAAGGCAGCATGGGCCGGCAGCACCCTGATATTCAATGATATTCAGTGATGCACACTATGCACGTCCTTTGCAGCATTTCAGGATGTTTAAGAATGTTTAAGATATAGCAAGATGTTCCAATGTCCTTTTGCTCTGTGTCAGGACTTGCACGAGCTGCAACGATATCGGGACATGCAACGAGATCTCAAGGTCCTGCAGATGGTCCAGATGAGTTTCTCTTTTTTTGTCTTTGTGATCTTTGTGTGTGTGGGTGTCACATGGTGTCACTGATCTTTGCTCTGCCAGGAAGGGAATGATGAAAATGACTCAGGCGCGAGTTGGAATGCGATGGAACCTTCGTGTCTCTCATCTCTCTGAAAGCTCAAAATATCACCCAAAGATCCAGGACCACTGGACTGCGCGAATGGAGTCAATAGATGTCAATAGAACATACTGATCATACTGTGCAATACTTCGCCATGTTTGTGTGCGTTTGGCAGATGCCACAGTCATCAACAGTCAGGTGTGCTTTCCGGTCACTGTCTTCCGGATCAGGCCCGGCTCAACAGCAAGCAGGGAAAGGGAAGCGACCAGCCTTTTCTTTGAGAGAGTCTTTTAATGTTGAGAGCGCGTGCCAGAGCAAGAGTTGCATCATGTTACCATGTTGTATCATGTTGCATCCAAAGTATTCAAAAGTAATCAACAGTTCAAGAGGTTAGAAAAGCTCTGGAAGATTTTAGATGATGTGAATGGTGTGTATCTCTGCTGAGACCAGGCACAGGAGAGCATCAATCTTCCCCATGAGGTGCGGAGACACAGACTCGTTGTACAACCCTATGGGACCCTATCATTCCTTCAATTTCCTTCATATTCATGGTTTTCATGTCCCGCTTTCATCATTTTCAATCCAAGAGGATGATTGAGATGATGTGAAGTTTGGTATAGTTTGGTCTTCATAGCACGTGCTTCCGCTTGTCGTCTTTGTAATCTCATGGCCGTTCATTGGCCGTTCCAAATCGTTCATCATTGATTCATTGCAGGTGATGTCAGCAGCAGATCTGGCTGCTCATCTTCGACGAGGTGCGACCTTTCACAGTCGATCAATCGAATGACACAGATCTTGTCTTCAATCGAATGAATGCCAAATGAAGGAAAATGAGGTAAATATTTATGTATGGCTAAGTAAAGTGAAATTAAAGTGAAGAGTAGACCGAAATAATCTGGGCCCGTGACTTGGGATTTAAAACTATTTTGATAACTATGTAAAGCAAATAGATGTAAATAGTATCTCAAAACTCATCCAACGTCCTCCATTGAAGCGGGGAAGCAGATAGATTCCGGATGATTAGTGACAGTGTTGCAATCCTTGCAGATTGCCGGTGTTAACAGCACCAGGTGGGGAACCTTTGCGAGCTCAAGCCTCCCAGGTCATCTCGACATCTCTCGACACGTTTGTGTAGCAGACAGTGTAGCATGATGTGGCATGGTGTGAGTAAATCTGTAAAATCTGTATTGAAACATGGTAGATCTGATGCTGCAGGCTGCGTGTCTGGCCAGTCCTGTGAAATTTTGGAAGCACTTTACACTTTGTTGTCCTGGTTTGTATTCAGTGCAAGTGTGGCTAGTCTAGAAGTGCTTGGCATTGCAAATGTCTTCAATACTCATTGGCCTCTCAACATTTCTGCGCCGCCCTCATTGTGAGCACATTGGACACTTTTGGATGTGTCCAACTTGGAGGAAGTGGCCCATTGCCAAGAGCTGACAAAGCGCTTACACGCTCTGCAAAAAGATCGAGATGCTATGGCAGTGGAGGCAATCCCGGTCTTTCTGGGCACAGATGTTTCAGCTTGAGTTTCAATATCTTCAATGATGCTTGCCCCATGAAAACCGAATTTACAGTCTGGCAACAGAACCTCGCTTCAATATGCTTCAATTACTTGAAAATGGGATTGAAAGTGAGCAGAAGCACGAACAGCTCCTTTACTTTTCTTGAGCTATCAACTCTAGAAACCGTACAGTACTGAGCAGTCTGCAGCCAAATGATCCTCTCACTGATCCCTCCTCGGCAAAAACAGATTCCTCAGAGTAAATGATTCGATTTGAGTCTGTATCACAATATATGTGACTCATTCTCTGATTTATCTTGGGTTTGGATTCGATCAAATTGGATTCAATCAAAGCATGACAAGCATGCAAATTTATCTGATTATTTTAACTATATAACATACAGTATGTCGATTCATGTTGATATGTTTTATCCCTTTCCCCTTCTGTGGGCAAGCCCCGAAATGCGTTAGCGCAGGTGCGCGAAGCCCTGACTCTCTGTGGCCGAGCAGCCCGCGCAGCTCGTACTGCGCAGGAGCCCAGGTGAGCTCCGAAGCAACCGAGCACCGAACTGATCCGAACTGTGAGTCACGAAGATCAGTTGCTCTTTCGAAGTGTGAGTCAAACTGAGTTGCTCTTTCCGAGACGACGCAACGGATATTGATACACTGTACATCACTGTACAATGTACAATGTACATCACTGTACATCACTATACATCACTGTACTAGTACCAGTAGATAAAGGTTGATATGGATAGATTAGGATAGAGAAGGGACTCATGATGACCCCATGTGACCATAACAGGCTTCCATGTCAAGGCTTCATTTGGAAATGTCAAACAGAGCGGATTTCGAGACCAGGATGGATGCGGCAAGGCACTGAGCCAAGTTCTCAGACTCGGAGGATTCATGTCATGTGCTGGAATCAAGCTGCAAATGATTTGATTTGCAAATTTGCAAGCATCATTGTTTTGTTTACTGGTGTTTGTAGCCATGGTGCTCCCTTCCGGACTTCACAGCAATTCTTTGCCTTCGCAGTGCCAACATGAACCTTCTGAGTTTCACTGAAATGTGCAACAAAGTGCACCCCAAACACAGCATTACACATCACTACACATCCATGCACGCAGCATAACCCGACGTCACCTTTCTGTGGCTTGGAGAACCTTTCACACTCACCAAGCTACACTATCCTACACCATCCTACACCATGCTGCAGCTCCAGCTGGCACTGGCGCCATGATAGTGGAAACAGCACACGCGGAGGTACAACCGGGTGCAACTCAGACGGGTGTTGACTCCACGATCTCCACATGTTTTTGGATGTCATCTTGGGGATTCATGGGATTCATGGGGCACTGAATTTTCAATAAATTTCATATGTCATAAATTTTCATAAATGTTCATAAAACATATTAAAACATATTAAAACATCATAAATTTCATAAGGTTTCATCCAGTAGGCAGCAGTAGGCATGTAGACATCAGTCAGTGGGCCAGTGCATGGAGATGGACCAGTCAGTTGATGCCTTTTGTGCGATGACCAGTGTATCTGGTATTTTGGTCAATGCTTTCTCAATTTTAGTCTTTCACTAAGATTGAAATTATGCGCAAAGTTCTTGATTTTGTATGTTCGTGTTAGTGTATAGTACTTGTACTTAAATTACTGAAATTTGTTTGTGTTTCCCTTGTAGTTTCATGCTTGAGAGAGAGAGAGAGAGAACAAATTTTACATCTTGCATCTCTGTTTCGATGCCCTCCATTGGCATCTTTTGGCTGCAGTTCTTCGTTCTGATGTTTGATGCTTTTGATGCGTAGCGGGGAGCACGCGCGCAACATGGACAGCACTTTGGCACTTCTTGGCGCTGGTGGAAGTTGGCACGGAGTTCTAAGAGAGTTGACACGCAGGCAGAGAATGGCAATGGGAGAGACAGCAGGGACTAGTGAAATCCAGTGAGATCCAGTGAGATCCAGTCAGAGCATGGACTTTGGTAAACTGTGTGTAGTACGTGTAGTCTTTTTGGAAAACTGTCCCAATATAGACCCTGTATGGACCCTGTATGGAGTGACCCGCATGTGCTGAAACAGCTGATGTGCAAGTCCATTGACATTCGAACTGATGACGAAATACAACGAAATATGACGACATATGACGAAATAATACGAAATATGTCGAATGTCACTAGACCTGTTGGATTGATTGGACTTGCACATAAGTTCTGCCACTGCATGTTCACCCAGTTTTACCCTCGTTCCAAATTGTTCCAAGCATGTTGTCTTTGGATGTCTTTGGAAGGTGAAGCAGCAACACTTTTGCTTCTTCGTCGCATCTGTGGATGAAGATCCTGTGAACTTCGCAAAATTTGTGGAACATTGCCGCAAAGAGCGCTTTCCTGAGGGAGGTGACACCGGTGACACAGGCGGTGAGGGCAATGCAAAGCCTGAAGGGTTGGAGCCTCCTCTCGAGCCTCTCGAAGACAGCTACTGCGAAGCAGATCGCTCTGTCCACACAACCAAGAGGTGCAACACATTGGCAAATCCGTATGTTTGCAGCACACGTGAAAGCTTTGGGTATATGACATGATAAGGTATATGATAAGTTTGTAGATGTTCGTAGCATTTCGTAGCATTGTAGCACACCAATGCACACTATGGATCACCATGGATCACCACTGGGAAGATCGGCGAATCACGCAGGTTTTTTCTGCACTCATTGTCACTAGCAACAAGCTTGTGGACAATGGTGCACCCTGCATGCTGTCAAGAAGATCCAACACTTTGGCTGAGAGATATGCGCTATATCACCAATTTTACAATGCTGAATTAATTACCATGACTTACCCTGACTTACCCGTGTCTACACTTGTGAAGATGAAGAGATGACTTCAGCCAAATTTGGATTTTTGATTCCGGAAATGTTCACGTTTGACACCTTAGGATCATCCAGAGATTTTAAGTGATTTTAACTCATACCATTTCAATCCATTTCATACCTTTAACATCCGACCCTAAAAGCCGACACAATAGTCAGTCGTTCAATGGATGATCAAGGTATCTTAGGGATTCTTAGGGTATGAAAATCCCATTTTGTGAATATTTGGACCATTTTGGACCCACTTCCCACACTGCGCACAAGATCACTGCAGAAGCTTTGCGAAGAGTTGTGGTAGGTAAGTGCTCTTCCAATCTCTTCCATCCATGTTTTAGAATTGAGGATGCTTCCCGTTTCATCCCGTTTCATGGATTTGTGTACTAGTGTTTTTTCCTGTGAGGTCGTTCGTTACACCCTGATCTTGCTTCGGAGAATAAAAGCGGAATGGTTTGGAACAGTGTGAGTGAGATCCTGTGGCTTTGTGTCATTGATAGAACTGAAACCTCCCAGTGGCCTACGACGAACATCAAAGAACCGTGTCATAATGTGTCATACCATGGTTAGTATGTCATGTTCCCTTAATGTGCTTCTCTGGAATTGGCTTGAGGCCGGCTTGAGTTTCTCTCGCGTTTGAGTTTCTTTGAAATGGCAAGCGGATGGTTCTTGCAGGCGCAATGCATGGCTTCCTTTGACACGCAACGAGTCGCTGGCATTCACCTACGAGAGGTCAGGATGGTCAATGGATGCTGGTTGCGGGTCAGTAATCTAAGATTATGAATCCAAAGTTTCTGAAAGATCTCAAAGTTGTTTTTTGATACATTTTCGATACTGTATCCCGGTTGACCCGAAGAGATTCCCACTTATCTTTGCAGCTGATATGCACACCTGTTGACTTGTGAAAGTTGGGGTTGGGTGCACCAGGACTGTTAGTGAGCTTTGCGCAGACAAGGGAGGAAGAGATTGCATCAACACTACGAACCAACAGGATATCAGAGACATGATATGACATGACAACAAAAAATAATAACATCACAAAACTATGGGAATCTTGCCTGCCCATCCTTGGTCCTTCTCCTGACTGCGTCAGAGATGCACATGTCAGGTGGATATCGACCGCTACTACAAGCAACGGCTTGGATAAGAGAGGCTGGTTGAGTAAGCAGATGTTGGCAGATGTTGGCAGATGTTGGCAGGGTCTCCGAACCAGGGACAAGAATTTGCAAAAATGCAACATAATGCAACTTGATTCAAAAAACTCATCTGGTGCTAGTGTTGTTCATCGGCTGTTGTGGAGGATGTGGATGATAAAGGCCGAATCATATTGTGGAAATTTGTGGAACAATCCGGAATGACATCCTTGGGCTTCGTATTGCTGATAATTCATGATAATTCATGATAATTCCAGAATCAGAATCATCCAGTGGCCACAGTCAAGAACATTGTCACAGCATGTCACAGCTACATTAGTTTTTTTCCGCATAAGGAGCCTGCTAGGAAGTACAGTATGTGCTCGTGTGATATGAACCCTGACAGGGCCATTCACAACATTTTTTGAAGACGAGTTTGAATCCAAACCACTTGATGTGAAGTGCATGTTTCTTTAGGTGGATTGTTCTGTATCCCTTTTGCAGGTTGGTTTAGAATAGAGATTCCCACCCTTTGCTGTACCTAATATGCATACCAAAACTGTCAACTTGTCACAGCTGAGTGCAACAGGACTCTCAGACGTGAGCTTTGCGCTCCCGCCCGACATAGACAAGGAAGGAAGAGATTGCATCAAAATTGAGTTATAGGGTCATGAAAATAAAAGATAAAAAAATGGCCAGCTATGCAATGCTGCTTCAACGAGACGGAGCCAGAGGCTAGCCAAATTCGCCTGACCGAAAAAAAAATAACAATCAGCATCGCCTGACTCCCTTACCCCGGCTGGGACTTCGCGGTCTGCCCGTCTTTCGGAAGCTGCTGACCTTGCGGAAGAGAGCAGGCCTCCCGCCGGCTCATGCCTGGACTGCTTCTCCTGGGTGCTAGAGCACGTTGTGGGTCACGGAAGAACGGGAAAGAGGATAGGTCCCAAATTGGGACCTTTCGCTCTTCTCGTTCCCGTGGCGCTCAGACGTGTTCGGGCGCCATGGAGGGCAACCAGGCGTGGACCGGCGGGAGGCTTGCTCTCTTTCTCATGGGCAGCAGCAACCGACTGATAGGGCGGGCGGCGAACGCAGGCGTGGTAGGGGAAAAAGTTGGGTGGTGCCGATTGCGGGAGGCGTCGGGCCGATTGGCGGCTTGAGCCGGGGAGGTCCGTTTGGACCTTCCTGGTTCATGCTGCCAATCGGCCCGGCGCCCCTCCCGGCCCTGGGCTGCCCCGGTCAGGTGATGGGCTTGTCGATGGCATCGGCCAATCTTGTTGATTGCGGCGCATAGCTGGCCCAGCCGGGCAGCCCAGGGCCGGGAAAACTAAAAATATATAGTGACGGACAATCACTTAGAACGTATTTTGGAAAAAAATTTCTGAATATTACTGCTTTTTTTACGTTCTAAGCCTTGCACTTAGAACGTCGAAAACCATACACTTAGAACGTCCAAATATCAAGATTCATCACTTAGAACGTACCGGGGATTTAACACTTAGAACGTGTCTAGGTCACTGATGATAGTGGAAAGGCTTGTGAAATCTTTTATCTCTAAGTGTTGGATCCAGCAGCTAATTCCGTAGGAAGCATAGACATAATTTCGTACCATTTGGCTTTTCCCTCCCATATGATGTGCAAATATTGGCGATCTTTTATCTCTGGAACACTATACCTTTTGGTGCTTTTTGGGGGTTCTGAGTTCTGATGTTCTAAGTGTTGGATTCAGCAGCTAATGCCGTAGGAAACATAGACATAATTTCGTACCATTTGGCTTTTCCCTCCTATATGATTTGCAAACATTGGCGATCTTTTATCTCTGGAACACTATACCTTTTGGATCCTTTTGTTGCTTTTTGGGGGTTCTGTCGTTCTAAGTGTTGGATTCAGGAACTAATTCCGTAGGAAACATAGACATAATTTCGTACCATTTGGCTTTTCCCTCCCATATGATTTGCAAATATTGGCGATCTTTTATCTCTGGAACACTATACCTTTTGGATCCTTTTGGTGCTTTTTGGGGGTTCTGACGTTCTAAGTGTTGGATTCAGCAGCTAATTCCGTAGGAAACATAGACATAATTTCGTACCATTTGGCTTTTCCCTCCCATATGATTTGCAAATATTGGCGATCTTTTATCTCTGGAACACTCTACCTTTTGGATCCTTTTGGTGCTTTTTGGGGGTTCTGACGTTCTAAGTGTTGGATTCAGCAGCTAATTCCGTAGGAAACATAGACATAATTTCGTACCATTTGGCTTTTCCCTCCCATATGATTTGCAAATATTGAATTGGCGATCTTTACCTCTTGAACACTATACCTTTTGGTGCTTTTTGGTGGTTCTGACGTTCTAAGTGTTGGATTCAGCAGCTAATTCCGTAGGAAACATAGACATAATTTCGTACCATTTGGCTTTTCCCTCCTATATGATTTGCAAACATTGGCGATCTTTTATCTCTGAAACACTGTACCTTTTGGTGCTTTTGGGGGTTCTGACGTTCTAAGTGTTGGATTCAGCAGCTAATTCCGTAGGAAACATAGACATAATTTCGTACCATTTGGCTTTTCCGTCCCATATGATTTGCCAATCTTGGCGGTCTTTAGCTCTTGGAACACTCTACCTTTTGGTGCTTCTTGGGGTTCTGACGTTCTAAGTGGTGGATTCAGCAGCTAATTCCGTAGGAAACATAGACATAATTTCGTACCATTTAGCTTTTCCCTCCTATATGATTTGACATTGGCGATCTTTTATCTCTGGAACACTATACCTTTTGGATCCTTTTGGTGCTTTTTGGGGGTTCTGACGTTCTAAGTGTTGGATTCAGCAGCTAATTCCGTAGGAAACATAGACATAATTTCGTACCATTTGGCTTTTCCCTCCCATATGATTTGCAAATATTGGCGATCTTTTATCTCTGGAACACTATACCTTTTGGATCCTTTTGGTGCTTTTTGGGGGTTCTGACGTTCTAAGTGTTGGATTCAGCAGCTAATTCCGTAGGAAACATAGACATAATTTCGTACCATTTGGCTTTTCTGTCCCATATGTTTTGCAAATATTGGCGTTCTTTATCTCTTGAACACTATGCATTTTGGTGCTTTTTGGGGGTTCTGACGTTCTAAGTGTTGGATTCAGCAGCTAATTCCGTAGGAAACATAGACATAATTTCGTACCATTTGGCTTTTCCCTCCCATATGATTTGCAAATATTGGCGATCTTTTATCTCTGGAACACTCTACCTTTTGGATCCTTTTGGTGCTTTTTGGGGGTTCTGACGTTCTAAGTGTTGGATTCAGCAGCTAATTCCGTAGGAAACATAGACATAATTTCGTACCATTTGGCTTTTCCCTCCCATATGATTTGCAAATATTGAATTGGCGATCTTTACCTCTTGAACACTATACCTTTTGGTGCTTTTTGGTGGTTCTGACGTTCTAAGTGTTGGATTCAGCAGCTAATTCCGTAGGAAACATAGACATAATTTCGTACCATTTGGCTTTTCCCTCCTATATGATTTGCAAACATTGGCGATCTTTTATCTCTGAAACACTATACCTTTTGGTGCTTTTGGGGGGTTCTGACGTTCTAAGGTTGGATTCAGCAGCTAATTCCGTAGGAAACATAGACATAATTTCGTACCATTTGGCTTTTCCCTCCCATATGATTTGCAATATTGAATTGGCGATCTTTACCTCTTGAACACTATACCTTTTGGTGCTTTTTGGGGGTTCTGACGTTCTAAGTGTTGGATTCAGCAGCTAATTCCGTAGGAAACATAGACATAATTTCGTACCATTTGGCTTTTCCCTCCCTATATGATTTGCAAACATTGGCGATCTTTTATCTCTGAAACACTATACCTTTTGGTGCTTTTTGGGGGTTCTGACGCAATCATAGACATAATTTCGTACCATTTGGCTTTTCCCTCCCATATGATTTGCAAATATTGGCGATCTTTTATCTCTGGAACACTATACCTTTTGGATCCTTTTGGTGCTTTTTGGGGGTTCTGACGTTCTAAGTGTTGGATTCAGCAGCTAATTCCGTAGGAAACATAGACATAATTTCGTACCATTTGGCTTTTCCCTCCCATATGATTTGCAAATATTGGCGATCTTTTATCTCTGGAACACTATACCTTTTGGTGCTTTTGGGGGTTCTGACGTTCTAAGTGTTGGATTCAGCAGCTAATTCCGTAGGAAACATAGACATAATTTCGTACCATTTGGCTTTTCCCTCCCATATGATTTGCAAATATTGGCGATCTTTTATCTCTGGAACACTATACCTTTTGGTGCTTTTTGGGGGGTCTGACATTCTAAGCCGTAAGAAACATAGACATAATTTCGTACCATTTGGCTTTTCCCTCCCATATGATGTGCAAATATTGGCGATCTTTTATCTCTGGAACACCATACCTTTTGGTGCTTTTTGGGGGTTCTGACGTTCTAAGTGTTGGATTCAGCAGCTAATTCCGTAGGAAACATAGACATAATTTCGTACCATTTGGCTTTTCCCTCCTATATGATTTGCAAACATTGGCGATCTTTTATCTCTGGAACACTATACCTTTTGGATCCTTTTGTTGCTTTTTGGGGGTTCTGTCGTTCTAAGTGTTGGATTCAGCAGCTAATTCCGTAGGAAACATAGACATAATTTCGTACCATTTGGCTTTTCCCTCCCATATGATTTGCAAATATTGGCGATCTTTTATCTCTGGAACATTATACCTTTTGGTGCTTTTTGGGGGTTCTGACGTTCTAAGTGTTGGATTCAGCAGCTAATTCCGTAGGAAACATAGACATAATTTCGTACCATTTGGCTTTTCCCTCCCATATGATTTGCAAATCTTGGCGGTCTTTACCTCTAGAACACTATACCTTTTGGTGCTTTTTGGTGGTTCTGACGTTCTAAGTGTTGGATTCAGCAGCTAATTCCGTAGGAAACACAGACATAATTTCGTACCATTTGGCTTTTCCCTCCTATATGATTTGCAAACATTGGCGATCTTTTATCTCTGGAACACTCTACCTTTTGGATCCTTTTGGTGCTTTTTGGGGGTTCTGTCGTTCTAAGAGTTGGATTCAGCAGCTAATTCCGTAGGAAACATAGACATAATTTCGTACCATTTGGCTTTTCCCTCCCATATGATTTGACATTGGCGATCTTTTATCTCTGGAACACTCTACCTTTTGGATCCTTTTGGTGCTTTTTGGGGGTTCTGACGTTCTAAGTGTTGGATTCAGCAGCTAATTCCGAGGAAACATAGACATAATTTGGTACCATTTGGCTTTTCCCTCCCATATGATTTGCAAATATTGGTGATCTTTTATCTCTGGAACACTATACCTTTTGGTGTTTTTTAGGGGTTCTGACGTTCTAAGTGTTGGATTCAGCAGCTAATTCCGTATAGGAAACCTAGACATAATTTCGATTCCACTTCGAATTCCAATTTTCTGCAATATTTTAATTGCGTTATAAAAGGAAATTCAATTGATTTCGAAAGCAAAAAACTAGTCTTTTTATTAAGGGTTTAAATTTATTATTAGGATCCGCTTCGAAATCCAATTTTTGGCAATATTTTAATTGTGTTATAAGGAAATTTACCTGATTTTGAAATCGAAAAAAACGGTTTTTCTTATTAAGGGTTTAAATTTATTATTTAGGTCCGCATCGAAATCCAATTTGTGGCAATATTTCAATTGCGCTATATAAGGAAATTTAATTGGTTTTGAATCGAAAAAAATAGTTTTGTTTTATTAAGGGTTTAAATTTATTAGGGTCCGCTTCGAACTCTAGTGTTTGGCAATAGTCTTATTGCGTTATAAAAGGAAATTTAATTGATTTTGAATCGAAAAAACTAGTCTTTTTATTAAGGGTTTAAATTTATTATTAGGATTCGCTTCGAAATCCAATTTTTGGCAATATTTTAATTGCGTTATATAAGGAAATTTAATTGATTTTGAAGTCGAAAAAAATAGCCGCTTTATTAAGGGTCTAAATTTATTATTAGGGTCCGCTTCGAAATCCAATTTTTGGCAATATGTTTAATTGCGCTATATAAGGAAATTTAATTGATTTTGAAATCGAAAAAATAGTTTATATAGCGACGGACAATCACTTAGCACGTTCTAAGTGTTGGTTTACGTTCTAAGTGATAAATGGGCCAAAGTGATATTTTGACGTTCTAAGTGATGAATTTTCCCTACGTTCTAAGTGATGAAATTTTGCTACGTTCTAAGTACGAAAAAAAAAATGGAAAAAAATTTACGTTCTAAGTGATTGTCCGTCACTATAAATGCAGCTAAAAATATTTGATTGAAAAAGCATTCTCTTCCAACCAGCTGCCTGGATGACAGCATATGACAGCAAGTCAATGACGTCATGAAGCAGATGGTTGGCAAACGTCATTTGGAACACAAAAAAAACGCAGAGCTCACAAGCATTGCAGCAAACAGGCAAACAAGCAACCAGCCTAGCAGCCTAGCAGACACTACATGATTTGACACCTGGTGGCGGCAGAGCGACAAAGCACAGAAATTGATCAATGCAGATGATTAATGATTATATATATATTATATTATAGGATGATTAGGGAGTCAGCAAAGACGACGAGAGAGGCAGAATCCAACTCCGTACAAGTCATCAGTCATCAGACCACCACAAAAATCATAGTTGAGCTGTGTTGAGCTAGCGCTAGGGGAGAGCAGGGCTGGTGTACACACATACAACTTCAAATGCATGGAAAAGCAGCTGCATGTGCAAATTGTAGCTGTGCTCTGGATGAAGTGGCACAGAAAAATAGTTGGACGGCAGCGACAGTGACCTGGCAGTGGGTTAGAGAAAGCGACATGCCATGACTATCCCTGACTCAAGGAGATGCCTTGGAAGAATCTCAATGTATCTGCATGTATGCTGTATGCTGCTCAATACGGCTCAACATGTTCGGATCAAAGTTTGATGAAATCTATATATATATGTCATATTTTGCCATATTTTGCCATAGTTTGTCATATTTTGTCCAATGACTTTCGAAACGTGTTATCTCTGAATTGCCGAATGGCTCAAGCGGCGATGTCGCCGACCTCATCCGTGTAAGGCTCCTTGCTGGGTGGATGAAACGGTTTCATCGATACACAGACAGAATTTGCAGAGTCTATCGCGGTGCGGTTCATTTTTTTCATGTTGTTTAATCGTGCTTAATTTTGTTTATTCGCTCTTCAAGGATGAAGACGATCAGGTGTAGTTTTGGCACCTGGATGCTAGCAGCTGCTAGCATTCCCATTGTAGTGCAATTTTATCCCATTGTCTTGACAGTTAATTAGTAGCGGCTAGAGTCTAGAGTTCAACCTTAGAAAATCAAGTGCAAAGGCAATGAAGATCTTGCAAGTTCCAGGCTCAGAGTTGCCAAGAAGACATGCTATCGCATGACATTGCCCCTGCTGCCCTCATTCATAGCTCTGGTATCCGAGGCTTTAACGTGCTTGCTGTATCTTGGCAGATTTGGATTCTCGCTCGTATTTGCTGGTATGGATATCATTTGTGACAGTAGTAAAAGGGTGCTGCAATCAAGACCAAATTAGAGTCCTAAAGTCCCCAACACAGCATGTTTGTGTAGATTCTATCAATCTTTGGTACGTCATGCTACATTATGCTACGTTCATGTTGGACATGTTGGACTGTCGCGGCGCTTGATATCCGACTCAGGTTGCTGTATGATTGCGTTTCAGTGAAGTTGAAGGCCAGCGGAGTTGTTCTGATTTGTCCTTTATAACATAGTTGCATTTGTCGTTGGGAACACAGAATCACAAGAATGATGTTTCATTTGTTTGATTTGTGTTATGTTTGAAGTGAATCTAAGACTATCTATATAAGTGATCTCGTTTTTGAAATGTGTTGAAAATTGTTGAAATATGTTCAACATTTTGGTGGCTTGGTGAATTTGGTGATGTTTGATCCATGCACGCCATGCACACGTGCAGGTCAGGAAGCTGCGACAGGAGAATGCCTCAACAGAGGTGCGGTCACAATATGTTCGTTGCGCGTCTGGTGGTTTTGTGGTTTCCTTGATCTTCCTTAATCTTGATATATCTTGATTATATTTGATTATCTTGTATTATCTTCTTGTTCGATGTTGATGTACGCCACGGATCAATCTAGCTGGGTTCAAGTCTTGCACATCAGCTAGCAACACAGGCCGCAAGCCCATCTATGAGACGGTCGTGACACTGTAATATATATATATATACATATGTATAAGATTGTATAAGTGTTGTAAGTAACACGCGGTGCTTGTTCCATGTTTGTCCGTAGATATCGGCTGACCAAGTCCTGATGTTCCAGAGTGACTTTGCTGGTCTCTAAAGCACAGTCGGCAGCTGCGAAACTGGCCCGATCTTTTGTGTTTAGATAGAATAACAAGATATAACAAGTGAAATGATTGTTACTACGCCCTACAAATGCATGAGAAAGCTTAACGGCCAGCTTTCAAAGTCACTATCAGTTTTTTGCTTCCACCTCATCGTTTGATCAAGGTATGCAAACAGGCTGTTAGTCATCCTTCAAGGCCATAGTATGGCATGAATTGTTTGGCAGTGGCAACAACCACTTGATACCACTTGGCATCAACGCGGCAAAGCATCGGATTAAAAAATCATAAAATCGCAGGAGTGGTGCTCGGACAATCGTTTTCCCGCTGACAAGAAGTTCTCTGCGCAAGGCCAAAAAACATATGAATGCTTTGAGATCAAAAAACATCAAAAAACCATATGAAAAGATGATAAAAGATGAAGGAGTTTGAGCGATCTAAATCATGGATTGAAACACACTGCATGCGGTGTTGACCCTATGGTTCGTTCATGTTTGTTCCCCTTATGGGAACCATTTTCAATCGAGGAAGAAAATGTTCGGCTTCGCAGTCCACCGTTTCGTAACGATTTGTTACTTGTGGAGGCCTCTCGCAGTTTCAAGACGTTTTCGGAGATGAAGGGAGTCCCAGTTGATGCAGTTGTCCGCAGGATTCTCTCAATCTTTGAATTCTTGAAAGTCTTAGGAGTGAATGATTGGCAGATTAGATGAATATAGATTTAAAAGTGTCAGATTTGAAGGTGAATGATTGGCAGACATCAGAATTACAAGTTTCAACATCCTTTGCTTTGAAGATCTTTGAAGCTCCATCCAGATACTTTAAGACATTTTAAGACCACTTGTTTGTGGCTCCAGTGTCACTCCAGCAACGTCCAGCAACGTCCAGCAACTCATCGAGGCTGAACTAGCAGATTTGAGAGAGATCTTGGATAAAGATCCACTTTGGAAGCTGGGTACCACGTGGGAGTTCAAGGCTGGCACCCAATCCTCACAATTCCATACAATTCCATAGAATTCCATAGAATTCCCACAATCCGCTCCGCTGAACCTGTTCAACGATGTTCAACGATGTTCAACGATGTTCAACGATGTTCAACGATGTTCAACGATGTTCAACGATGTTCAACGTACTTGCCCAGGCGAAGGTACACAGTGATTTCAATGAAGATTTGGCATTCGGATTCCCGGGTGGTGGTCCCTTGGCAGAGCTCAAGGAGCATTGAATCGATTGAATGCCCAAACTTATTTGCCTATATTTGCCTAGTTACACATGTTACACATGTTACACATGTTACACATGTTACACTTCCACAGTTTGATGGGGCCTGGTGTTTGAAAGTACTTGGAGATATCTGGAGCTGAGGTATTAGTACCATTTAGTACCATCACATTGATGTCTGATCTTTTTGCTTAAATTCTTGCCAAATTGACATCGATTGAGGCGGTTTCCTTAGATTCAACATTCCACCCTCAGCAGGCGCCACGTTCTAAGCATGCTGATGTTGTGGTACTGCGCATTGTTTTTTTAAAAGTATGTAAGTTCTCGAAAGGGACTTCCAGAGCATTTTCCAATGTAAAGTCTTTGATTGGAATATGACTCGGCCTGAACTTGGGACTTGACAAGACTTGAAGTCAAAGTATGTTGGTCTGCCAGACGAAGAGGAAATCCTGGTGGTCGACCAGGTGGGCCTTGAAAGGAATCGAATCCAAATCCTTCGTTGATTTTGAAGTGGTTCTTTGAGTTGTATAATATGGATCCTGGTGATAGATGTTATATGATGTCATAGCATCTTGGAACGATTTGGAACGTGTTGGGACGTGTCGGAACGTGTTGGGACATGATTGTGGTATGTCTTAAGTGTCTTACTATATGTCATAGTATATCAAAGTATTTGTGGTTCGAACTGATCCGTGCATGCTGGCCTATTCGCGTCAGGTGAAGGCCTTGGCTGACAGTGTGGAGCTTGAGTATCGTGCGGGCCCTGGTTTCAGCTCAACAGATCGTCGGGATTCATCGGGTGTATTGAAGATCATTTGCTGTCTCTTCGAAATCATGATCGTTACCAGGTGTGATTGTATGTTATTTTCGTATGCAAAACAACATTACAATAAATTATGATAATTAATTGTAATTTGTACTAATTACATAGTATATTGTAGCATTATATATAATATGCATAGGCAATGATCATATGATGATCACAAGATGATGCTGGATGTCAATGTGACCTGTCACCAGGCGGGACCTCACCTGCGAATCTCTCAGAGTTTGCAGTTGACATTTGGGTCCAGAGCTTGGATGGTGTGTGGTGGAAAACTTGTTCCCAAATCAATGCGCGTAGAGTCGCCGTATAGAAAGTACAGAATAGGGCAAACGTTTGGAATACGTTTGGAACACATGGCAAGACGTTCGAAAGTATGTACTTGTACTGTAAATATCTATAAATCATTTTACATCATTTGTAATCATTTGTAAATTATGGTAAAGCGGCGCAAAGCGGAGAGGTCTTGACAGGTCTTGATTTACGACCACACAGGACGTGTGCCTCCGACCGCGCCCATGCTCAGCCTTCAGCGGATGTTTGCCAAGCTACAAATATCGGCTCCTGGGCCAGGATTCCATCGGTGAATGGTGAATTGTTCAGATTCAGAGCTCATTTGTCTCCTTACAGTCTCCTTACAGTCTCCTTTGCTTGTTTTTTCTTTCTTTTTTGGCCTGTGAATCACATTGCAAATTGTATGCTTGCGGATTGTATTCTTTTGTATTCGTTTGTGGTCATGTCATCAACAAGCAGCGTCGCAGCGTGGTCTCAGGAACAAGCAGCATGGCACTGGTGAAACCCTTGAGGCCGGTACTGGGCCCGTACCCGTAAAAACAAGTTGTCGCAGAACATGTTCAAGCGTATATATGGTAGAAACTACCATTGGCAGATTTGACACTATTTCGCGTTATTTGAACTGATTTTGCAACATGTCAGTACTTGAGAGTAAACAATGGTATTATGATGTGTTATGTGCGTTGCTGTCGCAGGATTGCTGTGAGCCAGTCCTTTGCAAGGAGAAATGATGACAATGATTGATAATGTAAAATCTTAGGATTGCACGGAGAGTTTCAATGATTTTCAGATGTTTTCAGTACAGTTGACTGGCCCTGTGAAATTGTGCAGAATCATTGCACAATGAAGACTTTTGATGTTCAAAGTGCAGTTCAAAGACCCGGCATTTTCTGAGTGAAAGATGTTTCAGATGTCTGAATTCTTACGATATCTTCAATATATTTCACAGGAGGAACTTTCCAATGGCTGCAGCCCAGACACCAAGTGGAAACCCACAGAGGACTTTGAGCCCTGGCCGCAAAGATTGGTCTATGAAGGAACGGATGTGATCCAGAGATATCCAATCCCAGAGTTGTGGTTTCCAGCACACTTGCTACCGGCATTTGCCCAAGGACACTCGCTTGGGCGACAGTCTGGCACGCTGCTACTTGGAACAATTTAGAAGTCCTGATCACCTTCGTCTTGACATGTCTTGACAGGTTGAGCTGGTGTGGCAGAGCAAACAAAGCAGGAGAGACCAGAGGCTTAGAGTTTTGTAAGCGGTTCAGATCGATTACTGTAAATCTCTGTAAGCTTTCTTGCCTTATGGGTCTTATGGATCCTTATGGTGCCACTGTCTCAGTGTGCACATGAGTGTGCACATGAGCACGATGACCACGATGAGCACCCTTGTCGAAATATGTCGAAATTGAAATCTCAGCACCTCGGTGGCCTAGGCTGTGTGGTGCAACAGTGTAGCGAAGCCACTTGCAGCTCCACCAAATACAAGCTCAGGCGATCCTCCGCTCTGAGTCAAAGGGATGCATCATGCTGTTTGATGCAATGCATTTGGGCAAGACATGCACTATGCCACTATGCATCACTATGCAACGGTTTCGACTGGGCTGTGTCGCAGGGAAGGCACTGGACTACTTGGTTCAACAGAGGAAGAATGTTGCGACAAGCTCTTTTGCTCTGACTTCAAGGGGCTTTGCAGTGCCGTGGCCAAGCAAGCAGTTTTGCTGAGTTTTGTATAATACTTATAGTATCTTATAATACATTGATACAGCGTGATGAAGTATGATGAAGTTTGGGAAGCGAAGTGCGTGATCTGTGAGATCCGGCACATGACTCCTCACGGCTGCCTGATCTTATGGAGGAGGGCCTCCCGATGCCTCTTGTGAGTCATAGTGCAAGTCCTGTCCATGTGCGTTGTCATGTTTCTGTGTAACCATGGGTTTCTTGATGCTATTTGATGCTACATGATGCTGCTAGGTAGTTGCAATATGTATGCCATGGTATGTACTTTTATGTACTTGATTGTATAGATACTGTATATATACTCTATATATATATACATAGATGTGTGAAGATGTAGTACCTAGATGTACCTAGTAGTCATTCGTAGTGCTCGCAGTGATTCTGCAGGACGGTTCTCCACGCCTTGGTAGTTCCGAGTTTGACTGCTGCAACTTGGTGCTGGAGACTTCGGTGAATTTTGTGATACAATTTGTATCAATTTATTACGCATAATATAATATAATATAATATTATATAAATATATATTATATAATGAGAGATTATTTTCAGCATCGTTCAGCTGCTTTCGCAAAACATCCAGCTGGAAAGTGATGAAAGTGATGTGGTAAATAAATAAATGCAAACGTTGTGGGTTTGTTTGTCAGAGATAGATTTCTGTTTGTCTTTGATTGCCCTCTTGAACATGTTTGAACGAGAAGGCTAGCTGAAGTTGAGACTACCTGTTGCATCCCCTGCCCACACTCTCGATCTAGGCAATATCTTCAATTGCACAGCATTTGACTGCTCAAATCCAGTCACTTGACCGCTTTGGCTGACTGAAATATGTGAAATCCTAAACGCGGATTCGGCGGATTCAAACAAAGCCAAAGAATCCTAGAGCGCCTAGAGCGCCCAGAGCGCCTAGAGCGCCTGCAGTCCTAGAGTGAGATGGGATGGAGCTAAGAAAGAAGCCGGCACAGGATGCAACTTTCTGAGTGTAGCAAACAAAGACTTGCTTTGCCAAGCTGAGCCATTGTGTTTTCTCTTTGTACCTCATCTAGAGTGATGAGATGGTCGCAGTGAAATGGAGTTTACGTTTGTTTCCTGACTCACTAAGGCTGGGAATGGACTTTGGGCGAACCGATCACATCCAGAAGGTGCAGAAAGCAACAAGAGCAGTCACGACATGAGAAATCACATGCTGATGCTATGCTTCCGCAACGTGCCGAATTTCTGGGCGCGCAGGTATTGGTCATAGCTTTGCACATTGTTGTGACGAGTTGTTCTGCCGCTAGACTGCATCATTTGCATTGGTGAACTGGTAAACACATGATACAATGATACACATGTAAACACGCCCTTCTGTGCAATGCCGTGCAAGACCGGGGGTTGAGTACCTTCAGTATTGAAATAGGACTTGGCTGGGATGGTGTGTTGACATGTGTTGATGTGTTGATCTGTGATCAGGTAGCGAAGTTACCTGTGACAACAACACCAAATTCGGACCTGAGGCTTGGTCAGAGGATTTGCGTATTCCATCGTATTCCATCGTATTCCTTGGTCAGAGGATTTGGCTCAGCAAAGTTTATCAAATGTTCCTCCTGCCTTGAGGCTTCAGGCGAGAGGCAAGGAAGTACTCCAGAGGTTTGTTGCAAACCAAAGCTTTGCAAGGCCAGCTTTCGTGAATTGGCATGCGCACGCATGTGCATAGTCGGCAAAGCACATCAAAGTACGCTCAATGTATTGGTCAAGTCCAAAACTGATCAAAAGGGTTTTACTGCAGAAGGTTGCCTTTGTTGCTTGTTGTATTTTGTTATTGCTTGAGTTCAAGACTAAATGCATGGATTTTCGTGTTTTTCAGCTTCACAGCTACACAGCTACACAGCTATGCGTCGTGGCACGTCGTGGCACGTCGTGGCACGTCGTTGCATCGGCCGCGCAGCTTGCGCAGGATTACACCTGTCAAGGTGCCAGCCTCGGCATTGTCTCGCCGGAAGCCTTCGGGAGCACCGACGGGGAATGCTGCGCTGAGCGAAAGTGCGAGGTCGGAAAAAACATCGGAAAAAGCACGAAAAGCTGTGGGTTATTTGTGTTGAAAGCATAGGGATAGCGTTAGCGCAGGTGCCGCAGGTGTGACAAGTTTTGGTGTAAAATTTGATGAGCTGAGTCCAGGAACAGAGTGACTGTGTGGACTCAAAGAACGATCTTCAGTCTGTGGCACCCTGATCAGGACTATACCTGCAGCTCTGCCACGAAATGGGAAAAGAACCTTGGCTAGAGATTCATCGAAGAACCTGAAAAAGCTTATTTCAGCAGCATTCCGTTTCAGTTGGTTTTTTGAGTTCATCCAACAATGCACCCAGATACCCCCAGATACACTGCTTCTTGCAGCTTGTAGATGGAGGGGTATTTTTTTTGGTTTTTTTTTTTTGCATTTTTTTTTTTTGGTCCTGGCTCCTGGTGGCTTCTGTGGCTTCTGTGGCTTCTGCGGCTTCTGTGGCTTCTATGGCTTCTATGGCTCCTGGCTCCTAGAGCTCCTCTCTCCTATGGCTCATTTATCATCTATCGATCAATCTATCAGTGAAGCATGTTCACCAGGTGCATGTTGTGCATTAGATACACCTTGAGTATCATCTATCTATCTATCTATCTATCTAACTATCGAACTATCGAACTATCTATCTACCTGATTCTATCTATATCTATCTATATCTATCTATATCTATCTGTATCTATCTATTTCTATCTATATCTATCTATATCTATCTATATCTATCTGTATCTATCTATATCTATCTATATCTATATATATCCATCTATATCTATCTATATCTATCTATATCTATATATATCCATCTATATCTATCTATATCTATCTATATCTATCTATATCTACGTATCTATATCTACGTATCTATATCTATCTATATCTATTTATATCTATCTATATCTATCTATATCTGTATCTATATCTACATCTATGGCTGTATCTATATATCTATATATCTATATATGTATATAATTATCTATATATCTATATCTCTATATATATATATCTATATATATATCTATATATTTCTATATATTTCTATATATCTCTATATCTATATCTATATATATATATCTATATATCTCTATATATCTCCATATATTTCTATATATATATATATTTATCTATAGTTATATCTATATATCGATATACCGCTATATATCAATATATCAATATATCTGTATATATCTATATATCTATATATCTATATTCCTATATCTTTAAATCTATATATCTTTAAATCTATATATCTTTAAATCTATATATATATCTATCTATCTATCTATCTAAAAGGTTTGCATTATCATCCGGATGATATTCAAACCCCAAGCCAACCCTGAACCAAAGCTTATATAAAGAGATCTTAAACCAACTCGATGATAACATCAAATGAAACTATTGTGCATCGTTGTGCCTTAATCTACATTCCACATGTTTCCAAGGTGCATGTCGTGTAGTATATACACCTTAACTTGAGTATCACATTCAACCCAGCACCTTGCATGTGAAAATAGGTGTTTCCAATCTGCTTTGGGGGGGAGGCGCTGCGCCCTCCCCCCCAATCCCCCCCTCCCGTTTTTTTTAATTTAAATTCAAACTTGCACACATTTCAATACCCTGGTTTGGTTAGACTATATATATATATACATTGTATGTATATATATATATTGTATATATATATATACATATGGTTGTTTATATACACAGCTTTCATCCCAAAATAAACTGTAAATAATCATGTGCATGCATATGCGTCCACATAAGTATAGTTATTTGTATGTACATGTTGTATCCCTAAATAACCCCTAATCCAACCCTAAACAAACCCTAAACAGACCCTAAACCAGCCCTAAAGAAACCTTAAAACCAACCCTAAATAGACCTTAAACAAATCTAGAATAAACCATAAACCAACCCTAAATAAACCCTAAAACCAAACCCTGCAGATATATTACTGTAATTACACTTGTAAATACATTGATCTACATATGCACATAGTCATGATTAGTCATGCATGTATACCTCTATACATCTACAGTTTATAGTTTGCACATCATGTATCTCCAAAAATCCATGAACACTTCGGAAAAAAAAATAAACAATGTAAAAATCAATGAACACTTTGGAACAATGAATGAAAACCAGTAAAAAATGAATGAACACCATACAAAAATTGAAGACAACCATAGAAAATTCCATTGACAAATGGAAGAAAACCACGGAACAATCGAAGAAAACCATAGAGCAATTGGAAAAATTGAAGAATTCTATGGAAAAATTGACGAAAACCATGGAAAAATCCATGAACATCTTGGAAAATTCCATGAAAATCATGGAAAAATCAATGAAAACCATGGAAAACTCGACAAGCACCATGGAAAAAATCATGAAACCACTGGAAAAATTGATGAACAGTGCGAATGAGAGATTTTAGCTACATAATGCAGCAAATGAGAGATTTTAGCTGCAAAAACCAAGGAAGGGAGCCTGGACGACAAAAAAAAAAATGAAAAAAAAAATGCCAACTTAATTCCGCACCCCTTGTAGATGTAGATTTACTATGATTTACTGCACTTGCCGCGCCGCACCAAGGAAGCCAAGCGTGGAGGAATCTGAAGACGGTGGTCAACAACCACGGATGGGCTTCAGTGATGAAGAGTGTTGCGTGCCAAAGTTCTGTAAGAACTTCTTGTGCACCTTGGCTTACAATGAATTTGAAGTTCAACACTACTCTGGCTATGAGATGTATTTGTACAAGTGTGAACTCAAGCGTGTTGCCAGCTGGTATAAGACTGAGCACTAGACGACTATGGGAGGACAGCAGCGGGATTTTGCAACTGTTTGCTCCTCTGTTTCTTTTCTTTTATTGATGTTCCTGCGTCCACTAAGTCGACTAATCATGTGTCACTGTGTCTCTTGCGGACCTGAGGCTCCTCTACAAAGTGGAAGTCCAGGCCAGCTATGGCCAGCTGCCAGTGGCTGTTCGTATTTGTTCGTTATTGCTGACCATTCCTTACCTGTTCCGTCCCGCCCCGTCCTGAGATGTCCCGAGATGATTTCTCCATGCCACGAGACATTTGAGACGCAGGCATTGGCCTGAGGACGACAAGACGCTAGGAGGTAGCTTTGAGGAGCTGAGCTATGCCGTGCTTTGATGCGCAAATGTGTGCAAATATGAGTTCGATCACAATATTCCAAAATCATTCAAATTCACAATAATACAGTTGCTGGTTCGTGCAGTTTGATTCTTCACTTCACTGGTGCAGCTGGTCACAGGAGTGTTGCGACGCACTGATGTGTTCCAACTACACCTGCACAACAGACTACGATGGTGATGGACAAGGCGCACATGTCCGCTGTGCATAGGAAGCTCCTTCACTCGACACCACAGCGACAGTGAACCAATAGAAGATCCATGGGTCCATGAAGATCTACAGTATCTGTGTGATGCTTTTTGATTCTATTTGTGTATGCTTTCTTCCAAGAAACAGCCAGGCACCATGTACGTCAAGAAGAAGGTGCCGGGTTTGGAGTCTGGGGATGTCTGGAGTGATGGCTTTTTGGCGAAAAAAAAACTTTACTTCGAGTCATCCCCACCATGACATTTATGAGTTTTGTTACTGGCAAATCTTCTGGCATATCTTCTGGCATTTCATCTGGCATATCTTCTGGCACTCTATCTGGCATATCTTCTGGCATATCTTCTGACATTCTATCTGACATTCTATCTGGCATACCTTCTGGCATTCTATCTGGCATATCTTCTGGCATTCTATCTGGCCGTTGAGGTCCAGCGGTGCCCACTGAGCTCGGAAGGCCCCAGGTTGAGGTCCAGCGGTGCCCACTGAGCTCGGAAGGTCCCAGATTGAGGTCCAGCGGTGCCCACTGCGCTCAGAACCTGGCGGTTGAGGTCCAGCCATGCCCACTCAGATCGGAAGCCGGCAGTTGAGGTCCAGCAGTGCCCACTGCGCTCAGAAGGTCCCAGGCGGAAGTGGACATGGAAGTTGATGCAGACATGGTCGAGGAGAAACTGGAGGAGGAGGAAGAGGAGGAGGAGGAAGAGGAGGAGGCGGAGGAGGAGGAGAAGGAGGATGAGGAGAACAGCTCTGATAAAATCAAAAAACCCTCACCTGGCAGGTGGGGAACTAAGAAACTTTGCTGTGATCTCAGAAGGTATCTTCTCCAAACTTTCCTCCCAGGACACCAACTCCTTCCGGTGGCAGGGAAGTAGTGATGAGGACTGCTGCACGCCCCTCTTTTGCTCGCAATATGAAACCAAGGCGGAGTCATTTTGCACTGCACCGCCATCAGGATGCAAATGTTTCATCATTTTTCAAGCAACCCAGTTTCCTCAGATTTCCTCAGGTTCTTTTGTTTTTGATTCTTTGAGATTGTTGCACGTCGTGACTTTTGTTCCCTTGCATCAGCTGCATCCACTGCCAGTTTCCCACAAAGTGGCGCCGCAACACTGCGCAGCTGGGGAGTACCGACGCTGAGTGTTACGAGACTTGGCCTTTGCCTCCATGATTGTCACACTCTGGCCGAAATGCATCTCCAAAATGCGCTATTTTATCACAGATCTGCGGGAAGGCCAAGTGGAAATCGGAAAAAAACTGAAAATAATGGGCCAATGATGGCCAATGGGCCTTTCCAAAGACTGTGGGCCTGAGGATCCTGCCTGGTGCTCTGCATTCAATGGCCCAGAATCCCAGGAAGTGAAACCAAAGATTTACGGTGCGATATTTCACATGACCATGCATTGTGACAGACATTGACAAACGTTCGATCACTTGCTAAATGATTCTGAACCACGTTGCATTCTGGCCCCCTTCGCTAGGTTGTGGAGAGCTAAAACTCATCAAGGATGCCACGCACAAACAGGGCTCCACTGTCCAGGAGTGCTGTGAGGTGCGGGCTCTGGACAGTCACAGACTCAAGCGGGACAGTGCTGGGTTGTGTTGCATGGGTCATGAATCGGAATTCTATCGCCTGATGTTTGTGGTGTTTGATGGTGTTTTGTTTTTTTAATGTTTTTTGCCAATGCTCCTGGTCAGCAATCTCATGATTTCTGCTGCTTTCTCTCTTGGCTGCAGTGCATGAACTCTGGCTACCTCTGGCTGATTTGTTGGTAACACAAGTTTCCATGTCATCCACTCTGACTCCAGGCAGCAAAGAAAACAGATTGAGGCCGCAGCGCATGTTGCGAGCAGAAAGCTAACGTCCCAGCTGGGGGAGACTCCAGAGCCAGCAGCAAGGTCTAAGCTGGACCCGGTGGCTGGACCTTTGTCTGATACTGTAGAATCCGAAAGATGCGACAAAGACCATCAAACACCCATGTCAATCATGCCAAAATAATTCAAAGTCTTTCACAGAGAAGGGCCAAGGTCCGCCATTGAGTGGCTGCTGAATAGACTTGGCAAGCGCCGCCTAGATGTGTGGCATTGTCTGGCAAGAAATGGAGAATGGGGCAGAGTTGTGGTGGATCGGTGTTGTTCTAGCGCACATAATGGATACAAATGCTAATGTCATCTACTATCACTGTTTGATGAGTTTGCGGGCTGGCATTATTTTATCTTATTTTATTTCTGCTTGTTGAGATTACTCTCAATACTATGGTCCTGTCAGCAGGTGAGATCTTACGTACTGGTTTCCTGGGGCCTTACATGCTCAGTCTTTCCCATTTGGACCGACGCCGAGGTCAACCTCTCGATGTCCTGCGATCTGACTAGAGGGCACCTCTCAACGCCAGAGAAGTCGAGTGCTGGAGGACATGAGAATACAGTATATAGTATACTACATGAGAAAACATGACACGTGAGCAGACACGGGACACCAGCATACACAGCCTACGTAGCAGAGAGCCTAGCAGAGAGCCTAGTGACAAGACATGACAAGACTTGATGGTCTCGCATTTGGTCACCTGTCAACACTCAACTTCGAATTCAGTCCAGAAATTCGCAGCTGCCACGTTGCCTCATGGCACTCAGTGGCACCTCACAGCTGCGCGATTTTGCCTGTTGCTTGTACAAGCGAGTCGCCAAAGGGCGCTCCATGTTGGCATTGCAATGGGCCACTGAGGGAGCACCTCAAGTCAGAGTTGGGAATTCCTCAGCGAGATTCAGACAAATTTTCTCCTAAGCTTGTTCGTCGCTGTGTTTTGCGTACAGGGTATACGCTTGTACCGCGGATGTTGGTAGAAGATTCGATGTTTACAGTTTTTACCGCGGATGTTGGCAAATATGTTCATATATGTTCGATTTTTAGTGCATGTTCTGCGATTTTTTGGCCTCTGCAGATATGGATGTGTATGTTTTGCTGCAGTGGCGAAAGGCCGCGAAAGCGCGGCGTAAGGTCTGCGAAAGGTCTGAATACCACTATTTATAAATATATAGTATTCATATTTGGCAGTTTTCCTTGCAGAATTGCCACAGGATTCATGTTTCGTATTGTCCCATGTTCTGACAATTGCCAGTGGCACCCTGCATGATTGGCATAAATTATAAAAGACACCCTTGCATAAACATTTAGTTTCTGAAATTTCATTTTTTAGACGGGAAATCCGTGAAAGGTTCGCGAAAGGTTCGAGAAAGGCGAATCCTCCCGGACCCAACCCAGGCCCAAAATGGGTTAGTTCTTTCTGCATTGTCGCAACTTCAAAAATCTTTTCCAAAGAATGGGTGCAAAACCAATGTCCAGAAGTCAAACGTCCTCACAGGAACACTGACTTGCCCAATGCCATCGACTCTGTGGACTGGAACAGACTCATCACGCACAGCAGGAATGTAACTAGGGCAGCTTTGAAAACGGATCTCCAATCAGTAATGTTTTTAAATACAATCCTCCTGTGAATCTTTGTGACGAATTTGCACACGAAAACCCGATCATAATCCCATGTCCCGATTCTGCTGGGGCGCGAAAGGGCGCGAAAGGTTCGCGAAAGCGCGGCGTAAGGGCAGTTTTCGGGTACCATAATTTTGGACCCCCATATATACCTTGGGGAAGAAACGCAAAGAAAACAAGTCCTCGATGTTTACTGTTTTTACAGCGATCGCTGGCAAATTTTAGACTTCAAACCCAAAGGGATAGCTGTTACGGATAAGATCAAATACATGGATAGACTTGAAACACAAGAAAAGTGTGTGTGTGTGACTGGAAACGAAAGGATGGATTTGAAACGAAAGCCAGGACTCGCAACAGAAAAAATGAATTGAAACGAAAGGACGGACGTGGCACGCAAGGGACCAGAAAAGAACGGAAGGTGATGAAACCTAAAAAATGGAAACAAAAGACTGAACCAAAAAAAGGGAAAAAGATGAAAAAAAGCATTGAAGCGAAAAAGGGTGATTTGAAATGAAAAGGGGGAAACTTGGAACTAACAATAGATTGAAACCCAAGAAAAGATTGTCCGGCAATGATGTAAGAATATAGCAAGCCTGAGATAAATCAAGTTTAAAATACATGAAAAATACACTGCTTGAAGTTGGAGCGCGCTGGCGCAGCAATGATACTGGAAGTTCCCATGCACTCGTACGCATGTTTGATGCTATAATACGTGCAGTTCATGTGCAGTGACACATACTTGATGCTACGCTACTCGAACTTCATGTATAGTGGCAAGCATGCTTGATGCTACTCTACTTGAAGCTCATGTGCAGTGGAACCCGTGCTTGACGCGCGTTACTTGCATTTTAAAATTTCACTTGCGCCCTTTTTTTGAGGGGAGGTCATTGTCCCAACATTGCCGGCATAGCTTGCACAGGATGACCTCAGCCAAACTTCGATGCTTGCCTTTGCCCTTAGCCGTTGTCTGAGTATGCCATGCTGCTGGGGCAGCTTGCTGAGGGGGGGCTTGGAGGGGTCGGGATTTTCCTTTGCTGATTTTGCTGCCTCCTGTGCCATAATCTTCAACGTTGATACCATAATCTGCAAAAGCCTGGGCTACTCTACTGCTGTCAATCCACCTGCGCCTTGCAGCTGCAGGGCGGGGTGCGTTTCCAGGAGCTTGATCAAGTCATGGGAAATGGTAACAAAACGGATCTGGTATGGGAAAGCTCTGAGCGAGTTGGAGTGTTGCTGATGCCGAAACTTTTTTGCCCAGCATGTCGTGCTGTGGTGGTTCTGTCTTGTGTAGTGAGTGTAGCTCGCGTGAGAGCTTGAGTGAGCTGCAGTGTGGCTTTCATCCTGTCTTGGATGTCTCTAACAAGGATGTGATGAACGTCGTCTCGAATCAGCACTGTACACAGGTAGCGCCGAGGCGCATGTGGATCCAAATGGTAAGATACCTAGGCCAACATGGTCTTGTCCTGGTGCTCTGATCCTGGCCAAACTTGTAAGGTGCTCTTGTCCATCTGCAACGCGTTTGTGCCTTCGTTTCCAAAATGCGGAGACAACATGTCAATCAAGGCATAAAATGGTTGGAGTGCCAACCTGTCCTCCACCAGCTGGTCATGCTCAACCCGGATTTTGGCTTCCTGTTGCCCATGGAAGAACCAATGATGCTTGCGGCGTTTCATGGCTTGAAAAAAGATTTGCGCGTCTTCCTCTGTGAGAAATTCCGTATAACCACATGGTTGCGCATGGCCGCCAGTCCGTCCCATGCCAGGTTTGCACCATTCAACAAGTACCGCACATTGCGGTCTAACTGAGTCTTCGTGAAGCCCACCGGCGGCAGGTTCTTGAGAAGGATGGGTTTTGTTGCATCTGCTCTGCTCGAAAGATCTCAGCTGCAATGAGTGGCGGTCGGTCATATGCTGTAGCAACAGAATCTCTTGGCTTACCGTATCGTAAAAGTTTTGGCAGCAGTCGGTCAAATGCTGCAATCCTGGTAATACTTGGTGCTCGTGATATTGAATCATCGCCTGCTGGGGCTGCTTGTCTGCTGCCGCAATCTCAGGGGTTTGCACTGTTCCTCAAAGGGTCGCTTTTTGGACTCTGTGGTAGCGCCCGCCTGCTGTGAGTAGCGCAGCTTCTGTTGTACATTTGGGTCGAGGTCGCCCCATTCGAGGTCGATTTCTGGTAGGAAACTAAGGAATGCCTGGCTGAAAGTCATCTACACCAATCTTTTGTTGTTTAGGCGGGGCTCTTTCACGGATCCTGTGCTATCTGCGCGTTCTGTCAAATGCTTTGCTTCATGGGCGAGGAGCTGTTTGAACTTTGCCTGCAGTTCTGGGGTCAACGTGCTCAATTCTGCCTCGGTGTCTAAGGCTTCTGTCTGTGGTTTCGCTAATAGGTGCTGATGCTTCTGCTTCTACATCTTTGCCACATTTTGCCACCAGTCGGTTCCGGTTCCATTGCAGGGTCACGGATGCGTTTGTGGACCCTTGGTTGCAAAGTATAGAACCGATTAGTGTCTTGGACCTCTGCCAATGAGAGAATATTGTAGAACTCTGATCCTGTGAAATGAGTCGAACAACGTAACAAATATGAGATAATTATGAGTGAAAGTTCTCAGCACTTCACGCCTTGTGCCGAAAGCCTAAAACAGCCTTAAAAACATCATCCGTCCAGGGAAAAGCCATGGATGGATTCGTTTGCACCCTGAGAACAGTGTCATCCTGCGATGCTGGCGCGCTCCATGCTGCGCTACTTGACGTTCACATGCTCACATGCACTGGCACACGTGATGCTACGGTAGTAATGCTACGGCACTTGAGGTTCATGTGCAGTGGCAAATCTGCCGCTACAGTACGTGAATTTCATGCGCGCCGGCACACAAACTTGATGCTGCGAAGTTCTTGTGCAGTGGCGCAACTACTTGATGCTACGGTACTTGAAGTTCATGTGCACTGGCTTGCATACTTGATGCTACGCTATTTGGATCACATGTACTGGTGGACTTGATGCTACGCTACTTGAAGCGCCGGTACACTGGATGGTATGGTACTTGAAGTTCCGTTGCAGTGGCACATATACTTGCTGCTGCTCTGCCTACAAGTCACTAGACGTCACGTGAATGTCAAGATAGATGAAAGCACGCAGGGTTTTTTCGTTTCATTTTTGCTTAAAACGAATCAACTGTTTTGCTTATGCTTTCCATTTTCCCATCTCTGTGCTTGGGCGCTTAGTGAAGCTCAGCTGAAAGCTCAACAGCCTTTCCAAGTTTGAGGATCAGCTAGGTCAGATTACAACTTCGGGACCCGTATTTGCATCAACTGCATTCAATTGCAGCATTTGCGCGTTAAGCACATCAACACATCACAACGGTTATCTTTGATTGATCAAAGTGTTGCACGGATCAAATTTGATCAAAATTCCCTCAGGCCGTGACTCACAAATGTGAGGGCGTGCTTTTGCTACGCACTTGGCATTTTTCCACGCACATGAAAAAATAGGTGATTCATCTTGAAGATTCTTGAAGTCTTTTTCGCGTTTGCATGAAATGAAACTTGCAGGTTTATCCCCTGACAGGCCGGGCTGCTGTCGGTTCCTGCTTGTTACCGAGACCCAGTGTTGGTGCTGTTGGAGGCACTAGCCCGACTCTGGCCTAGTGACACCTCAGCAAGTTTAGTCATACGGTGGTTCATACATGTTCATACTAATACCTGGTATCCAAACTGTATCTCACATCGGAGTCACATCGTCACATCAAGTCACAACACATCATCCACGTCTGAGAATCTATTGAGCCATCCTGGCCCTTGTGGCAGAGGGGAGAATCACACCAAAGATCGATATTGCTGAAAGGTTCGGATTTTTTCCCAGTTGAAACATGCAAGTGAGATGCACTTGAGGTTTTCCAACTTGATTCTAGCAACCTGACACATTTATGACATATCGTTGCGATTTTCTCATTTGATGCTTAGGAAATTCCCATCTCACTTCCTGCGTGCAATCTCAGGAGATGTCAGAGAGACTCATTTCTATCAAGACATCACAAAAATATCCATCAGGTTTTGTGAACCACCACTGGGCATTGCCTGAAATATGATGAGTCAATATGTGACAAATACATACATATTATCTTTATATGTGATAATATCTGATAATATGTGTATATACACAATATGTACAGAAACCATCAATAAACATGAAAACATACTGGTAGCGTGGTCCTGTTCATCGCGTTCTCTCTTTGACATCGTTTTCTTGCTCCAGGGCGACCGCCTGGCACCTGTGAACTATTCGCGGAAGATGCCAGGCATGGACACACTACCTCACCATACCTCTCCACCGTCTACCACCGGGCTGTTGTGCCGAGTTGTGGTGAAATGTTGTGAATATCTTTGAAGCATGTGTGAAGCATGTGTGAAGCATGTGGGATAGAGAAAGATGATGAAACATGATGTAAGCTGTGTGTGTGTGTGCCAGTAACAGCCATGTCATTAAATGTGTGCGAAATTGAACGGCTTAATGACTGCGCAGGCCTCACTACTGGCATCGAGATGGTGTCACGAGAAGGCGTTTGCCTATCACTGCACCAGTGTGTTTCACAGATGCTAGTGAAAGGCAAAGACCTTATGAAGCTGTGGTCGTCACCGTGACCCAATCACAAGAGTTTCCTGCAGAGAGGCTTTTGTAACTCTTGTATTGAACTGCTGTACCAGGCTGTGCAGAGGGTGGAGAAGAGGTTGGCGCTCCACTGGAAGGTAGTTGACATTACTTTTCTGTTCTGAATACAAATCAACTAGGTTATTAAGGCGACTTGCAACGACTGATTGGCATTGGCATTTTTTTGGGACCTGTGTGGCACCAATGCACACTGGAGTCTATTATTTTGGGACTCAAACTGATGACTCGGGGGACTTGGTGCGGTATTGATTTGTTTACCGGTGGGCGCTGCAAGGTGTCACAGAGGTAGTGTGGGCCAAAGAACAGGACGAGCCCAGGAAAAGAATTTGCACTGCCAAGAGCTGCTTGTAGGATTTGCCGTTTCTTAGAGAGATTGAGAACTTCGCTTCAGCCATGTTCCGGCTACTTGTTGATTATGCGCAGAACATAGCATGACAGAACACTTCTACACACTTTCACACACTTCTATGATTTGGCCCTCACACATCCACACGCAGAACCTCCCTGATGAGTTGTCACTGAAAGTAAAGCGAAATGATGCATGCAAGTCATCAAAGTTCCAGAGGTTGATGCTCTCTGTTTCCTGCGCATGACCAACGCTGCTTTGTCGAACATGTGCACTTCTTTGGGCATCGGCTGTAGTAGGAGAGGGATATTTCAATATTTAAGCGCTTACGCGCGACAGCCGGCCAGGGGCCCAACTATGTAGGTTCATTGTGTGGCTATGTTGGCGTATGTTGGCCTATCTTGCGGGCAATGTGGGCCCATCTTGTGGCTATGTTGGCCTATGTTGGCCTCATGTTGACCCATGTTGAGCCAAAAGATCCGAAAAATGGGAACAGCAAAAAAAACACTGTAAAACGCAGGATATTTTGATGGTCGGCGGCCTATCTTGGGGCTATGTGGGCCCATCTTGGGGCTATGTTGGCCTATCTTGAGGGCTATGTTGGCCCATCTTGGGGCTATGTTGGCCCATCTTGGGGCTATGTTGGCCCATCTTGGGGCTATGTTGGCCCATCTTGGGGCTATGTTGGCCCATCTTGGGGGCTATGTTGGCCCATGTTGGGGCTATGTTGGCCCATCTTGAGGCCTATGTTGGCCCATGTGGACCCATCTTAAACCACAAGATCCGAAAAATGGGAAAAAGTGGGAAGAGCACAAAACACCGTAAAACGCGGGGGTTTTTGGCCGGACCGGGTGGTCGGCGGCAGGGGCGGCGGCCCGTCTCTCCTACGGAGAGGAGAGAACTGCCGTACGGCAAGGACACGGCCAGGGGGCCCCTGGCCGGATTTATGGGCTAACGCCCCTCGTCGGCTCCGCCGGATTTCTCGGCTCTCCATTTCATCGCAGTGTGGGGGCTGGAAAGCTTTTGGATGGGGACCTGCTTCAGAAATATATTCCTTACGTTTTTTGAAAAAAAAAAGAACAGGAACTTTGTTGGAAATAGACGGCTTTTTTGGGGAGCAAGTGAGTGCCCGAAAGCTCCTGCCAAGGGTTTTTCCCGAAGAACTGCTGCCAATTTCAACTTGTGACTTCATGTCAAGACGCCTCTGTGCAAAGACTTCTCTGTGTAAAAGCTTTTGTGTGTAAAAGTTTCTGTGTGTAAAAACCACTTTGTGTAAAGACTTCTTTGTGTAAAAGCTTCTATGTGTGAAAGCTTCTCTGTGTGAAATGTCTGTGGAAAGATTTCACTGTGTGTAAAAGCTTCGGTGTGTAAAAACTCTCTGTGTAAAGTGTAAAGGCTTCTCTGTGTAAAAGCCTCTGTGTGTAAACGCGTCTGTGTGTGAAAGCTATATATCTGTGTAAAGACTTCTTTGTGTAACAGCTTCTGTGTGTAAAGGCTCCTAGACGTTTGTGTGCAAAAGCTCCTTGGAGTAAAGACTTTTCTGTGTAAAACCTTCTGTGTGTAAAAAGCTCCTTTGTGTAAAGACTTCTCTGTGTAAAAGCCCCTGTGTGTGTAAATGCTTTTGTGTGTAAAAGCTCCTCTGTGTAAAGGCTTCTCTGTGTAAAAAAAGCTTCTGTGTGCAAACACGTCTGTGTGTAAAAACCCTCTCTGTCAGGCCTTCTTCGTGTAAAAAGTTTTGTGTGAAAAAGCTCCTAGACGTTTGTGTGCAAAAGCTCCTTAGGGTAAAGACTTCTCCGTGTAAAACCTTCTGTGTGTAAAAAGCTCCTTTGTGTAAGGACTTCTTTGTGTAAAAGCCCCTGTGTGTGTAAAAGCTTGCTGTGTGTAAACGCTTTTGTGTGTAAAAGCTCCTCTGGCTGAAGGCTTCTCTGTGTAAAAGCTTTTGCGTGTAAAAGTTGCTGTGTGTAAAAACCACTTTGTGTAAGGACTTCTTTGTGTAAAAGCTTCTGTGTGTGAAAGCTTCTCTGTGTGAAAGCGCGCCTGTGTAAAGATTTCACTGTGTAAAATTCTCTGTGTAAACGCTTCTCTGTGTAAAAGATTCTGTGTGTAAACGCGTCTGTGAATGAAAGCTATATATCTGTGTAAAGACTTCTTCGTGGAACAGCTTCTGTGTGCAAAGGCTCCTAGACGTTTGTGTGCAAAAGCTCCTTAGAGTAAAGACTTCTCTGTGTAAAACCTCCCGGCCAGGTTTTGGCAAAAACGGCCGTTTCCCAATGATCCCAGAAGAGAAATTCAATAGCCGGCCGAGGGACCGCCAAATGGCAGAAATTTGCTTCCAAAAGGCTCCCGGCCAGGATTTGGGCAAAAACGGCCGTTTCCCAATGATCCCAGAAGAGAAATTCAATAGCCGGCCGAGGGGCCGCCAAATGGCAGAAATTTGCTTCCAAAATGCTCCCGGCCAGGATTTGGCCAAAAACGGCCGTTTCCCAATGATCCCAGAAGAGAAATTCAATAGCCGGCCGAGGGGCCGCCAAATGGCAGAAATTTGCTTCCAAAAGGCTCCCGGCCAGGATTTGGGCAAAAACGGCCGTTTCCCAATGATCCCAGAAGAGAAATTCAATAGCCGGCCGAGGGGCCGCCAAATGGCAGAAATTTGCTTCCAAAAGGCTCCCGGCCAGGATTTGGCCAAAACCGGCCGTTTCCCAATGATCCCAGAAGAGAAATTCAATAGCCGGCCGAGGGGCCGCCAAATGGTAGAAATTTGCTTCCAAAAGGCTCCCGGCCAGGATTTGGCCAAAAACGGCCGTTTCCCAATGATCCCAGAAGAGAAATTCAATAGCCGGCCGAGGGGCCGCCAAAAGGCCGAAATTTGCTTCCAAAAGGCTCCCGTGTGTAAAAAGCTCCTTTGTGTATAGACTTCTTCGCGTAAAAACTTCTGTGTGAAAAAGCACCTAGATATTTGTGTGCAAAAGCTCCCTAGAGTAAAGACTTCTCTGTGTAAAACCTTCTGTGTGTAAAAAGCTCCTTTGTGTAAAGACTTCTCTGTGTAAAAGCCCCTGTGTGTGTAAATGCTGTTGTGTGTAAAAGCTCCTCTGTGTAAAGGCTTCTCTGTGTAAAAGCTTCTGTGTGCAAACGCGTCTGTGTGTAAAAACTCTCTCTGTCAGGCCTTCTTCGTGTAAAAAGTTCTGTGTGAAAAAGCTCCTAGACGTTTGTGTGCAAAAGCTCCTTGGAGTAAAGACTTCTCTGTGTAAAACCTTCTGTGTGTAAAAAGCTCCTTTGTGTAAGGACTTCTCTGTGTAAAAGCCCCTGTGTGTGTAAAAGCTTGCTGTGTGTAAACGCTTTTGTGTGTAAAAGCTCCTCTGTGTGAAGGCTTCTCTGTGTAAAAGCTTCTGTGTGCAAACGCGTCTGTGTGCAAAAAGCCCCTTAGAGTAAAGACTTCTCTGTGTAAAAGCTTCCGTGTGTAAAAAGCTCCTTTGTGTAAAGACTTCTCTGTGTAAAAGCCCCTGTGTGTGTAAAAGCTTGCTGTGTGCAAATGCTTTTGTGTAAAAGCTCCTCTGTGTAAAGGCTTCTCTGTGTAAAAGCTTCTGTGTGCAAATGCGTCTGTGTGTAAAAACCCCTCTGTGTAAAGACTTCTTCGCGTAAAAACTTCTGTGTGAAAAAGCCCCTAGATATTTGTGTGCAAAAGCTCCCTAGAGTAAAGACTTCTCTGTGTAAAAACCTTCTGTGTGTAAAAAGCTCCTTTGTGTAAGGACTTCTCTGTGTAAAAGCCCCTGTGTGTGTAAAAGCCTGCTGTGTGTAAATGCTTTTGTGTGTAAAAGCTCCTCTGTGTGAAGGCTTCTCTGTGTAAAAAAAGCTTCTGTGTGCAAACGCGTCTGTGTGTAAAAACCCCTCTGTGTAAAGACTTCTTCGTGTAAAAGCTTCTGTGTGTAAAGGCTCCTAGACGTTTGTGTGCAAAAGCTCCTTAGAGTAAAGACTTCGCTGTGTAAAACCTTCTGTGCGTAAAAAGCTCCTTTATGTAAAGACTTCTCTGTGTAAAAGCCCCTGTGTGTGTAAAAGCTTCTGTGCGACTCCTCCCTCCAGCTTTCTTTCGGGTCACGCTGTCGTCCAGTTTCAATCTGCAACATTGTTTCCAGTTTCAATCTGCAATATTGTTTCTTGTAAGAAGGCAAAGAACAGGTGAAAGCATCGCAGTTAAAAAATTGAACATAAACAGCGCACAAAGTGTTGTAATTTACAGCATTTTGCGCTGTCAGATGGCAAGAACCCGCGTAAATACCACAGTTTTAGTCCCCGAAAGTGGCTAAAACACTGTTATTTACAGGGTTTCGTTCACGTCACGATCTTCGATTTTTTGGGAAATGCGTAAATGCCAGCGTTTTTTCCGTTCATCAAGGCAAAAAAATCGGTTCAGAAAGGGAAGAAAATGCTGTAATTTACAGGGGTTTGGCGCCGCCACGGGCAAAAAACTGCGTAAATACCAGCGTTTCGGCGTCCAAAAGTGGCCAAAACACCGCTATTTACAGTGTTTCGTGCCTTCCACGTTTTCTTGAAATTGCAAAAACACTGTGAATACCAGCAGTTTTTGCGATCAACACGCCAAAAATGCTGTAATTTACAGTGTTTTTTTGCTTGGCTTTCAAAAACACTGGTATTTGCGGTGTTTTGTGCATCTTGGGTCTAAAAAGTATTGGTATTTACAGCATTTTCTGCGTTTTTGCATGGCTCCCGCAAAAGATGTTAAAACGCAAAAATGCTGTAATTTACAGCATTTTGTGACTTTCGAAAAGCGAAAAATCGTCCGAAAAATGTGTCAAAACGGCGCTTTTTTCCGATTTTAGGTACCCTCAAAACGGGGGGGGTGGGAATGCTCTTGGAGACGCTTATGAGCGACCCGGATCCCGGCCAAAAAGCTCTCCCCCACCCTCCTGAAGGATTTTTGGTGTTTT